CTTTGCCCAACTTCTTGATATTAATGACTTCAAAGCATCAGAAGGATGGTTAACAAAATTCAAGCAAAGACATAATAATATCAAACAGTATACAAAACAAGGTGAAGCTAATAATAAATTTTTTTTATTCGTTAACTTATAATCATGTGATGATCGACAAAATTCTCTATACCAGACAAATGATCCGTTATAGAGAGTGAACTGTATGTCTATAACCATAAATATCACATTACTGATTATTTATTTTTTTTTTTGATTAGTTGATCCGGGTTATTTACAATTCCCTCTGACAAGAGTTCCATCAGAATGTTCGTTTTCCTTCGTAGATATTCCATCACTCCCGGAGTTCCTGTCGACTGGCTTTGATCCCTAAAAAGGGCAATTACATGTTACCGAACGTCCATATGCGTTCAATCTTTGAATATCACGTTATTAAGAAAAACATTTAGTTTAATCACAGATGCTAAAGCTAAAATAATATAATCTAAAAAATAAAAAAATAATAAATTTTATGTATTTTATGCACATGTTATAGCCTTCATCATGCGAGTCCCTGCGTCATATGATTTCATATGATTTCCTACATTGTTAAATGGCTTGAATATACATAATTAAGAATAAGTAGGTTAATAGATAATCAATATCACACCAGGAAAATTGATCTTCAATAAATATAATTAGCATTAGGCAAAGTAAAACAAAGGAAGAAAAAAAGGGTTAGGATGGGGAAAGGAAATATTTATTATTATTATGTCTTTGTGTCATTACGTGATTCCCTTCAGGGGGGATAAATTTAGTTATGTATATTTGATACTGTTGATATAAAGACTTCACGTCCTAAACTGTTAAGTAACGTATCAATGTGTAGCTCGAGATAAACTTTTAAAATGATCCATGCATCAATATTGTTGATATTAATATTATTCATCATGCCATAAAAGTAGATCGATCACATATATTACAAGGAAAAATTTATATTTAAGTTTTTACATACAAGAATAAATAATTTATAAGTTTACAAATTTGCAGTTAATTGAACATTAATCTGATCATTGTCGTTACTATCGCGAGGCTAAGGCTGAGGTGAAATATATCCATCTTGTGACATAAAATGATGTTCTTGAAGTACAGGAAGATGTGAAGCAGTTTGCAGTTCGATCATTGAGGTGGCAGACGCAGAAGTTCCATAGACAGTTTGCGACTGTATATGAGAAAATGATTCATCTCCTAAATTCTCTGAGGCAGAATACCCAACTGCACCTTCGGCGAATGTTTCTTCAAATTCCTCTTTACCCTCTTCTTCATCATCCTCCTCCTCCCCTTCGTAATGAAACAAAGTTGATTGTTGAGTTTCTGATTTTTTAGTAGCTGTGGTGTGAATGATTGATTTATGTTTACCGTTGTTATTGTTTTTCGATGTACTACGCATTTCTGGAGCAACACTCGAAGTAGATAGCTTTGAGCGCTTAATTTTGGGTAATTTGGATTTGTTTTTTACTTTACGTTTTTTTAAAAGATAAATTAATAAAAATAATATTCCAATTGTAAAAAGTATTATAATAACTCCCAAAATTATTGGTGTCGTTAAAGGATTAGCATCGTTCGTACTACCAATACTAACACTATTACTATTGGCGTCAGTTGTAGAATTAAATTGTTGTTGTTGTTGTTGTTGCATAATTAAATTTTCAACATTATTTAATGAAGTAGTTGTCGTTGTTGGCGATGATGACGATGATGGTGACTCTACTTCTTTTGTTGTTGTTGTAGAAGATGAAGATGATTTTGTTGTTGTTGGAGTAAGCTCGTCGGACCATTTACATAAATTTGAATGAAAATCACATTTTCCTTCTTGAGGACAATCACTATTTCCCAAGCATTCAAATGCACAAACTCCATGAATGCATAACTGTCCTTCACTAATTAAAGGACAATCTTCATTTAGGTAACATTCTCCATCATCGTCATCATCATCTCCATCTAATACCATGAAGTCATTCATCTTTTAATTTTATTCGATATTATATATTAATTGGATTCTTAAACGTATATGTGTCTCTTCTTTAAATGAAGTTTATTGTCTAAAACTATAAATAAAAGAAATAATAATGGGAAAAGAATAATTAATGTGAGAGAAAAATGGACTTTGTAATATTTTTTAGTATTTATTATTTTATTTTTTAAGAAATAATAATTCATCATCAAATAATTTTTTTCATTCATTGATTCATTATTTCACTCTCACGAATAATTAAATAAAAAGATGGCTTTGAATTTGTTTTGAAAGAAAATCAAAAAGCAAATATTTTATTTATATATACTTTGATGTGGCTATGTATGCTTGCTTTTTTTTTTATTATTAATATATATACATAGCCACGATATAAAAGTTTAAATTTTTATTTCCAAAGAAAAATTTAAAATTTTTGTAATAATAATAAATAGTTACTTTTCCTTTTTGATAAAGTAAAAAAGACACCAAAGTTACTTGACATATTGACATAAATGTATATAAATATTTGTATAAAAGATTGATAAATAAATACATTAAATAAAATTATAAATCAAGTCAAGTAAATGGTATAAGGAAAATCAAAATATTTCATAAAAATTGTAAAATCAGATTTCGCGTGTCTATAATTTATTCCTTTCCACTCCCACGCAAGCACCGAACATCTGGACGCGAAGAAGCTTCAAAACAAACTCTTTTGAAAGATAGAGCAAGAACTCAATTGTTACAATTTATTCAAGAAACCCTCGGAGCCATTACGACCCGAAAACTTTTTTTCTTGATTATATGCCTTTTCTTACTATCTTGATTATTGGTGTAAGGTAGTATCCGCTGAACCTGTCGACCAGATTTCTTTTCCTCCAAAGATTTTAAACTAGTCAGTATCGTTATCGACGATTATCTAAAAATCATTATAGCCATATATTTTGCACAAGGTTAAATATCAACGTTCTTTCTTGATTGGTAAACATTTAACAATAGTAGCGTCTTTAACAAAATAAATATTACAATAACAAAAATAAGGTAAAATAGAAAAATTACAAGATTACATAATCGTAATAATTATTAGCAACATAACTGAATTGTGCGGCATTACTACTTCCTGATACTTGAGACTTTAAATGAGCAATCTTTTTCAGATAATGAAGAACGCGTCAAAAAGAAGGCACAGTTCGAAGGTTTGGCCAACTTCTGCAAGTTGGTTTAGTGAAACAAAACTCGCTTAGTTATAACTGATGGTATGACAGTTTTCCAAGATTCCAATTGAAACAATAAGGTAACCGTATCTTAGAATTGAAAATTTATCATTTTTGATACTCGCCAAAGACTTACAGTTCAACTGTATCCAGTTAATGACAACATTAAAAAACTTTGGTGGCCATGGATGGACTTTTTAGCCCAAAAGCCAAATGGAATGAGGCCATGCAAGTTCTTGAGTTTAAGCCATGCACAATACAAACTTCTAACTATTAACGTTCAGTTTGCCCTATGAGCTAGCATCTGGTGTGGGTATGTTACAAGTTCAGTGTTTGGGAATGAGAATACTAAACATTAAACCTTTCTAATAAATTTTTTTGTTAGCTATCATTCCTGAAATGGATAATTATTTTGTCATATTAATATGTACCAATTTAATTCCATTTCTTCTTGATATTTAATGTTTGATGAAAATCGATTTATTTATTATCATTTATTATTATTATTATTATTTTAGTATATGATTGCCTAAAAAGTAATTTCGGCGTTTCGGCTACGAAAATTAGTTACTGCGAGAATTATTTTAAAAATAAAACTTATTAAATGGCAAAAATGGACTGTGAACTGATGTTTCGTAACAAAGTCGGTCATGAGATTCAGAAATATGAGAATTTTTATTTATTTTATATACTAATACTAATATATTATTATAATTAAACTTTTGCTAGTCGTATTAGTTAAATTGATACATAAAAGACTGTGCAGCATAAATATATTAATATACACTGAAAAGGGTTTTATGGAGGGAAGTTGAAGTTCTTTGAATTAATAAAGAACCTACTACCCTAAAGTAGTAAAAATAATAGAGAAATAGTAGTGTTGTCATATTTAATAATAAACTATATAGTACACCTTGTAGGAACAATAGAAGAAATTGTTGTTATTGGAAGAATTATTATTAGAATTATGGTTTTTAACGAAGATGAAAAAAACTATCAAATTACACAAAATTTTTTTCTATTAATCGATTTTACAATCGATTGCATAAAAATCGATCGATTCATTGTTATCATAATTTCTAATTTAAAAACCAAAAATTAGAATTTATTATATATGCATATTTGGAGTCAATATTAAAATTACCTTCGATCGTGCTTTCTTCAATTATTTCATCAAACATCGTCGATCTTGCTAATCGCATCAATTCTTTCGACGACTTTTACTCTGCCATTATTATTTTTACTAGAATCTGGTTTATAATAAAATAAAATTTAATATTAATAAAAAATTTTAATTCAAGGTCGTGTTATATAAACTTGCATAAATTTTATCCATTATTATATGTGTGTGACACACCAGTATATATTTTCAATGAAAAAAAAAATCGGGCAAGTTTCCAATCATTTTTTACATATTCTTCTGGCATTCCAAGCAGTTTTCCGTTGGTTCCAATGGTAAATTTGCTTATCAAAAATCAAGATTAATAATGATCAAATTCTCTACAACTTTTGTTAATAATAATTCCTCTCCAAGTAAAATTTGTGGTCTTTAAACCTTTACAAATGATGGATTATATCCTAATTAACATTCCAACACTATAAATATCTGACTCCTTTGTATTTTTTCTTATTCGGAAAACTTCGATGCAATACATGATGATTCCATATATTTATGTGATGATCTATCATCAACTGGTCCACATAATACTAAATCTGTAATATAACAAGGACTTCCTTATACTGGTATATTATTCATGATGGATTAAATCTCATGTATGATATCATTATTATCATGAACATAAATAATAGAGCATTTAATTCTACCTTTTAAAGCTAATTTTTTTCCTCGATGCATAGTTATTTCATTATACAATAGCAAGAAACTATTTTAATTTTACAATAATTCAATGCCTAAATTAGATTTTTAAAATAATAAATATTTATTGAATTACTTTGTCATTTTTTGAATTCCAAAATAACTTCTTTTTGATTCTTATAATCATTTATAGATCTCTTGTCTATACTGCAGTATGAATGGAACCAAATCTTTCTCATTTTCAAATATTTTGACACTGGAAGTTACACGATATTATTGTTACACCATTCAGTAATTCAAAAAAAAAAATTTTTTTTATAGATCAAAAAAACAAAAAAAAATTAGTTAGTTGTATCTTCAATAATGCGTTTAGAAAAATGTTACTTTTGTTCTTCTACAGTATACCCTGGACATGGGACAATGTTTGTAAGAAATGATAGTAAGGTAATTTAAAAAAACTCTCGATTAAATAATCAAATAATTGAAAGTTAATATAATTTCTTAAAAATAAAGGTATTTAGATTTTGTAGAAGTAAGTGTCATGCAGCCTTTAAACATAAACGCAATCCACGTAAAGTAAGGTGGACAAAAGCATTTAGAAAAGCAGCTGGCAAAGAAATGGCCATAGTAAGTGACAAAAATTTATGATTAGGATTTTTGATGAATGGGAAAAATATATATTGTGTTTAATTATTTTCCAATAAATAAATATCATAAAGGATTCAACATTTGAATTTGAGAAACGCCGTAACGTACCAATACGGTATGATCGTGAACTTATGTCTACAACTATAAAGGCTATTAAGAAAATTTCGGAGATCAAAGCTAAACGTGAAAAAGCATTTTACAAGAATAGGTATTATTTTTTTAGTGTGGTTATTAGTATGTAAATTTATTTATTCCATAGTATGCTCATTTTCCAATGTGAATATTTTATAGAATGTCTGGTAACAAGGAACGCGAGAGGGCAGAGAATATACGTGAGATTCAACGCAATATTGAACTTGTTCCAACACTTTCATCGATCAAAACCAAATTACAAACAATCAAAGCTGTTGCTGAAGCAGATAAAGTTGAACATCAAAATAAAGAACAATCGATGGTGATGGATATTGATGCATCATAAAAAGAAAATTTTTATTATTAATAGTAGGTAGAGGTGGTAGAGGAGAATAATAATAAAATGAACATTGTTGTCATTATTGAAAAAAAAATAAATTATGAATTATTTAATCCACATGATTACATATAAAGTTCCTATAATGAACTCTGTCTATAATGACCTTTTCTCATATTGATTTGCCCAAAAGAAAGGTAACCTAAATGTGTAGTTTACGGAACTATTTTTTATTTATTATGATGTCCATGTATTCACATGGTATAGGACATGGGCCTCTTTAGGACTTTGGACAATTATAATTGAACTTGTATTAATAAAAATGGTAGTGACCTCGTTAAAAACACCAGTCAGATCTTTAAGCATTTACATAATAAAAATTGGGATTTTTTTAATTAAAAAAAAAGGCCCAAAAAGGAAACTCATTAGCCATTTTCAGTAAGATATTCTGAGTAATTTTTTATATTTTCTTCTCTATCTCTTAAACGGTCAAAGTATTCTTTAATGGTAACATAAAATATTTTTTTTGATCACGATCTTGCATTATTGGCCAATTTAACGATCTGCAAAGTAAAAATAGTCAATCGACCAACTTTTATTCAAAGATCATGTTTCGTATTAGGATCAGAAAACGTTTTTTATAATAATAACAGAAAAAAAAATTTCGGCTATCAATAGCCGAAAAACCGTTTGATAATAAATTTCATACCCCAAAATGGTAAGTTTTTGAGCCATCGGTTTTTTTTGCTATATAACTAATCTTTATTAGTATTAGCATAGTGGAAGTTTGTTGTTACACGAAATGTTATGCAGAACCAATTACTCCTAAAACTTCACCAGTATATAGTTGTTACTCTAAATTGGAGATCAAGTTCAGGTCCAATTTATCACTTACTTTTTATTGCCAGAATGTTTGCCGTGTATTATAAAGTTTACATTGCACAATATAAAAATTTAATGTAACATTTCAAATTTCCACTATGCTATTAGTAATTAGCTTCGCTATTTCAAATCATAGTTATTAAAAAATTAATATTAGTGAGACATACTGGTGTTTACCTTTCAGAACAAACTAATAGAATATAATAGGCCCCGAAAAATTGTTTCTTTGATATCTAGTTCAAGTTTCAATGTCAACTTGGCAAAATCTATTGTGAAAGTCAAACACGTTTCCAATTCGAGACGCCATTTAACCATCGTTTAAATCTTATTTCCAAAGACATAAATTTCAGATCGAGAGTAAATAGAGCAAATATAGTTACCAAAAATTCCATATCACGTGAGCTTCTTTCTAGTAGCAAATAGGAAAAGTACTCATGAAATATTAACCCAAGTTGTAAGATAATTATTTTATGTTTACGCGTTATACTTTTATTATATACAAATATACAAGCATTTAATTTTTATAATAATTCCAGAATTAGTTCCTACAATAATAAATTTGGCCAAAATTAGAAAAAATGGTGTCATTGTTATTTATTTTTTTTTTTTTTATACTTGTGGAGAATATATAATTTATTAATGCATATTTATGATATAAATTTTTTTCTCATTCACCATTCAACTTACATACGATTCACATGTTTAAACAAGTGATTGATTAAAAAAACCTGAATTTTTTATTTTTTTTTATTTCTATTAAAGAAGAACAAGTTGTTTTAGATTTGTTTCAAAGATATTCGGCATTGCACTACCACACGACTACAATTACTACTACTATTGTAAATATTAATATTGTGACAGCAGGTATTTGTTGTTGTTGCTCCTACCAACAACAACCATCAAAAATTATTTTATTACCACTACTTTAAACCTTATCATATAATTTTTATAATCGTCGAATGATGTAATCATTTTAAATTATTTTTAAATTTTAAATTATTTTTATCAAATTTAGAAAAATTAAAAAATTTTCTCCTAATTTTCCTTTAAAGAGTTTGAAATAAAAACAATCAAACTTAATAAAGAAAATAATAAAGATTAGCCCAAACAATTTGTTTCGGGAATTTTTTGCCTCAAAATTAAATCTTTTTGCCGCAAAAAAAAATAAAAAAAATAAAAATAAAAAGATGAACCGTGCATCCTAATGGATTATAAATCCATTCAATCCAATTGCGAATCCATGATAAAAAAAGGATTCCATCTATTCATATATTCATCCGTTCGTTTTGTATATTTTTTTTTTTCAATCAAAAGATGAAACTAGGCTGGTAGCAGCTAACGTTTATACTAACGATGATTCAAACAATGATAATATTGTATTTATGAAACATGAAATGTATATTTCTTCGAACAATGGACGGTTCCTAAAGTAAGACATAAAAAAAATTAATATTTTTTAAACATATATATATATAAAAATTTAAAATTCAAAAAATAATGTTTCGTTACGTCGTTACACAGTCATAATAAAATTTATTATACAACCCAAATGAGGAATAGTTTAAGTCAAGTATTATATTACACCGCATGGGTATTTATATTTAAATCAAGGAGAAGAGAGGGTCTTTTCCTTTAATTAATTAATATTAAAAGTTTCTTTTTAGGTAATGAATGAATTGTATATAATTAAATATAATTCGTTAGAAAAATATTACCATAAATATTTCAGGGTCTATTTCAGCTATACACACCAAAAAACCTTAATTAATTTAATCAACAACGCATGTAAAAAATTAACAAGAAAAGGAAAAAGGGAGAAAGGTCGCCACGATCTGAATCACATGATCTAAATCTTTTGACCCCCTGAAAATTTAATGGTAAAACTATACAGCCTAAATAAATAAAGTCTGGGTTTTTTTATATCCTATCTGGCTTTATTTTGCATGAATAAATAAATAAATAAATAAATAAATAAATAAATAAATAAAATAATCCTCTTTATTAAGAAAATCTAATTTTCCCAATTATTCTTTTCCTTTTAATTCTTCCACTTAACTCACGCTCACTATACTCACTACAGTTCTCTTTTCTCTAAACAAATGAATCAATTAAATTAACGGTCAATTGTAGTGAATTGGTGAACGTGTGAGATTTTCGTAAAAATTCTTCTATTACATTATTATTCAATTATTGCACGCATATATATACACACAATTATACACATTTATATTTTACTGTGTATAAATTATTATACAAATATATAAATATATTGAAATTTTTCTTTTAAAAAAAAATATAAATTTTTTTTAAAATTTATTCTTTTTCTTTATTGGTTACTCGTTCTTTTTAGACTATTTAGATCATTATAATTTGTATATAAAAAAACCATGTAATAAATTAATAAATAATATAATAATAATATTTAAAAGCAACTTCTTTATCTAAAATATAACATTCTTAGACTTTTATTTAATCTAAAATTTTCTTTATTCATATTTATACACATATTTATACATATACATATTATATATATATATAATAAGAACATTTAAAATTAATAATTACTTTAATAATTAACTTTTAACACATCTATATTTTTATTTTTGTTATTTCCTGGTGAAATTTGTATTATCATTATTTTCTTTGAAATAATCGTAAAATTCTTTTAATTAAGATTAATTAATAAAAAACGTAGAAAGGATATTTAAATTTACACTTTTACTAGCATAATAATAATGGCGTTGGTACAACAATATATTGTAAACAATTCAACGGCACCTTTAGCCACAACAAAAACAAGAACCTCCAACCCAACATTTCATCAATTAATGAAGAAACTTCACAATAATAATAGCAATAGTAATAGTAATATCAATAATAACAATAATAATAATAATAGTTTTTATAATTATAGTCAACAAGAAACAATGATAGACGATGATCGATTAGACTCTGGAATATGTATCTCATCCACCAAAAAATCAACAACTGTTTCATCTTCAAAAAATGAAAGTTTAGAACTTTGGGTCGATGATTTATTAAAGGAATTTGATAATATCGTCTCAATTAATTTAAACATTGACCCAAATCAAGATAGAGTTAAACAAGTAAATATATATTTATCGATAATCTTGATACATGATGATAATGTAATACTAATGACGTTATGATTGTATAGTTAATTAAAAAGATTAACGAAGGACTACTAAATAAAACTCCAGATAATCATAATAATGAAAAAATACTTGATGTAAGTAATGATTATTATTTATATACGCGCAGTGTAATTAATCGATTAATTGATTAATTAATTAAAATAATTAAACTGTTCGTAAAATAGTTTGTACATAGAAAAAAATTAGATTGTGAATTATTGCTAAACAACAACAACAACAACAAAAACGATATTGATATTAGCATTTGCAATAATGACGTGAGTAATTGTTGTGAAATGAATTCTCACGTGATACTTATTATATTCATTCACATTAATATATTATTATTATTATTATTCATTAGAGTGACGATTCAACTTTTGGAATTTGTTCAAAAAATGTCAAGTTTAACGAGACGACAACTATTATCGAAAATCAATTAGATTGTAAAAAGAATAACGTAATTATGAATAATTATAATCAAATGATTCATTCATGTTAAATGATTTTATTAATATTAATATGGTTGACAAAATAGGAATCTTCAAAGAAAAACTCAAAACTACGAAAAAATCCAATATCGTGCGTTTCTGATTTTATAAAGAATGCAGCAGAAAAAAGTGTTTCCATATTTGAAAAATCAGAATCCCCCGAAAATAAAAAACAAGAAGATCAGGCTAGAAAGCGTCTCGAACTAGCCCGTAAAAAAACCAGAAAACTTACAATAAATATTGGTTCGATCGAGAAAAAAAGTAAAAATGAACGTTTATTAAATGGTCGATATCTCATCGACAAAAGAAATACAGTTGGTGAAGGTCACCATGGAAAAGTTTTTAAGGGTATTGACATACAAAATGAAACACGTGTGGCAGTTAAATGTTTAAAGAAACAATTTAAATGTTGTTTGGGTACAATACAATATGCAAATAAAAAACAATTAAAGAAGAATTCTGAAATAATTAATGAAGGAAGAATGATGTTACAAATGGATGGCTTGGTGAGTCAATAATAATAATAATATTATTATTATTATTCTTATTCTTATTATTTACTATTATATAAATACTAAAATACTAATTCTTCTTTTTTCTTTTGATTATTAGACAAATCTTATCCCACTTTTAGATTTAGTTGAAACTCCCAAAAAAGTTTACTATATAATGCCACTAGCAAATAAAGATTTGAGCGATGTGATTTATCGTAAGAGAATGACTGAAAGTTATGCTCGTGGATTTATGAAACCAATACTTGAAGCTGTTAAAGCTATGCATGATGCTGGTTATGTTCATCGTGATATAAAGGTACTATATTATTTTATTATTTATTTATTTTATGATCTTAAATATTAATGATCTGTTTGTATTTTTATTATTGTATAGCCTGAAAATATCATGTTATATGAAGATGAATTTGCAAAACTTGGTGATTTTGGTCTTTCGACTGAATTTGGTTATCATTCAGGTTTACAAGTAGTAGGAACTCCTGCTTTTGCTGGTATGTGTAAAGAAAAAATACCTTTAATAATAAATAATAAATAATAAATAATAAGAAATGATGATAACAAAAATAAAATTTTTATTCTATTTAATAGCTCCTGAAATACTTGGTCAATTCCATCGTACAGATAAATTGGCATGGTTAAATTATAAACGTGCTGATTTGTGGTCATTGGGTGCTACTTTTTACGTATGGTAAGCATATCTTTTTGTTTGTCATAATAAAATAATATATATATTCATGTTATATTTACATATTATCTTTGCATTACATTTGATTTTTTAGTTTGGCTGGTAGATATCCATTCGATGATCAGAAACCAGTAATGGAACAAGTATACGCCGGTGTAAAATTTCCTGAAAAACGGTTTGAAAATTACTCGCCAGATGCGATCGATCTTATTAAAAGATTAATGATAAACGATCCATTGAAACGTATATCAATTGATGAGGCACTTAATCATCCTTTCTTCACGATGAATAAATAAATATTTTATATTTTACCATATATTAGTTAGCAAAAAAAATTTTTAAATGTGGAGACATTGGCTAAATTATATATATTATTATTTATTTTTTTCAATTCTAAAAAAAATTTTTCTTAAAATTTCACTTCTGTGTTTATATTTCTTTTTATGTTTTCTGTAAATGATTTTTCCTTTTTTTAAAAAATTCGTAAAAAAAAAATTCAAAAATTTAGTGTTTTCTTTTTTTCTTTGGACAAAAAAATAAATTATTAATAAATAATAATATAAATGATTTAGTTTTTTCGTGTGTATGATGACGACGACGATTGTTCTTGTTGTTGTTGTTATTATTGTTCTTGTTGATTTTTCTTTAATCTTTCTAATCTTTCTTGATTTCTTTTTAATAAGATTCTGTTTAAATTTTCTTTCTCGATTTTTGCCATCTCATGCCTCAATTATCATTAATATTAATATTAATTAATATATATATATATATATATAAATTCTGAAAAATCAAAATTTTGAAAAATTTACCAATTTGTTATTTGACTAATTGTTCCATCTTCATTAACAACTACGGGTCCTAAATCATCTAATTTCACATTTATTGTATTATTATTATTACTATTATTTTCTGTTGTCAAAGGTGGAGGAAGAAGGATTCCCACTCTTTCGGTAATAGCAGTAGTATCTTCAACTGATGATGATAACTTTTTTTGTTCTAATTGAATTTTATTTTTAAAATTAGTAGTAAAATTGCAATTTTTATTTTTATTGATGGTAGTAATTATTAAGAAGAAGTGATTGTTATTATTATAACGTCGAAACATTATATTAGTAATTAGTAAGAAAGAGAGAGATCTACAAGTTATTTATATTAAAACTATTTAGGAAATTTGTAATATTTCCAAATCAAAAATTTAAATATTCAAAGGTTGTCATCGGGTGTGCACGTTCGTTAGATGAATTTAAACAAATGGAAAAACAAAGAATGAATAACCAATTGTTTCGTTGAATCTCCCGACCAGGGAGAATCTTTTCAATATTGAAGAAGTGTTGCCCAATATATATTGACTGGTATTAATGGTTTGCGTGAGTGTATAATAATAAGTTCTTGAGCGATAAGGTGGAACGAGAAGTTGAGAGCAATATTGATCCACCAGCAATAGCAATGTCAGTTGCTAAATAAGGATCCCGAGGATTTATATGTATCCACACTCGCACATTTTCCTGCCGATTCTCTAAAATTATTTCTTCAGTATTAAAAAGATTTTATCCGCCTCTTTTTTTTTTATTAATGATGAATTATTATTATTGATAAAGACTGTATTGCATTCATTTATCGAAATTGATACCAAAATAGGTTAAATGGACTGTTTTACATTTCTTCAATGACTTTCCAGCGAATGCATTCAATAAAACTTGGGGATAAATTCGTAAAGAAAAAGAATTCATCTTTAACAAAAGTATTTATATTTACATTTTTTTTTGTATTTACTCAAATATTCAATATTATTAATTCTATTAATATTATTATTAGAATCATCAAAGACTATTTTTTTACCTGTTTCATACGCACTAGCCAACTTATAAGCTCTGAATGGTCCAGAATTACCAATTATATTTGTGGTCAAAATTATTGAATTGCGATTAAAAATCATCTACCATAATTTTATGCAACTGACACAAGACTCAATTTGTGATGCAAGATGCAAGACTCAATTCGTGACGCGAGCATGATTCATGCCAATTTCTTGACTAATAAAAATTCCTGGTTATGAAACACTCAAAATTCTTTAAAATCAAGAAAATTCGTGTAATAAATAAAAAAGTTTTATGTGTGGTTAAAGTTTGAATTAATTCATACACACATTACGAATTGTGTTTTGCACCATAAATTACGTTTTGCGTCACGAATTACGTCTTGCGTCACGAATTACATTTTGCGTCCTTACGAAATGTGTCTGTCACGCACACTAATTTGCGTCACACACGGCTTTTAATTTTGACGATATGCATAGTTATATTGGTTAACAACCAATAATAATATTTTACATATATATTTTATAAAATTTTGGTGAACAAATCTTAATCATTATTTACTTTTTAATAATAAAGTTCCTTTATTAGATGAACTTTTTTTTTTGTTTGAAAAGAAAAAAATGAAATTTTTGATTCAAATTTCTATAATTAACAAATCAGAGAAAATTGCTATTTATTTTCAATGGATCAATAATTTTTATTCTGATGACAATAATAATATTACTCAAGAAGTTACTTAACAAAATAATAATTCTGAACAAGATATACCAAACAAATCTTGTTATGAGTGACAAAACTTCAAAAAAAAAAGTGATCAATTGTGCATCCTCATTTTATTCTTGATGAACAAAAAAATGAATATAACTGTAATCATTGCAGGATGTCCACCAGCAAAAAGGGTCTGAGATTATTAAATTGTTCTGTGTAATTATTAAAACAAAATTGGTTAAACAAAGCCTTATTGTACTAGGTAAACATGGTTTAAAATTTTCACCAACTATAATCCTTATGATATAGATATGCATTATGCAAAAAACTCACTTTTGGCCAGGGATCCTCAGACCTCTATATTGTTGGTGGACATCCCATTTGTAAAATAAATTCACAGGAAAAATATTTAAAAAGTGTCAAATCTGAGTTTTTTTAGCAAAGTTTATAAAGCTTCAAAAGATGGCTCCACATCTACATTTAATAGACGTCTCACAAAAACATTGTTGAAAATGAAGAACAAGATCATGCTAAATCATTTCATTGACATGATTGATAAAGAAAAGCAGAAAAAGGGGCAAAGGAAACAAATAGCTTTGTAGTCCATAACAACAAAGAATTCCTTGTTATTCAGATTAACAAAGACTATGCTAGATTGCTTCATTGACATGATTGACAAAGGAAACAAAAATAGCTTTGTAGTCTATAATAAAAAAGAAATACTGATTTTTTTTAAAACAAGTTTACCTTCTTGAAATAAAATCCCTTGTATAATAATAATAGTACATGCAACACTCAAATGTGATAATTACAAATTCCAGATATCACACAAAAATTAAAGGAATTCGGAATCAAGAATATACTCTGGGAGTGGAAGTAGTTAATATTTAATATTAACAATAAATTTGTGCATCTTGTGCAACTTTTTTTTTCAAAAAAAAAATCATTACACAATGAATCTCGATTTAGCATACCTCGATTTAGCGGATACTAATTAAAAAAGATCTCGGTTTTACGGATAAAGTTCAAAGAACGGTTCCCATAATAAGCCTTAATAAAAACTTTCTCGATATAGCGGATATCTCAGTTTAACGGATTTTGGAAAATTTTCCCTAATTGCCAAACTATCCGCTAAATCGAGATTCACCGTGTTTTAATATATAATAATGTTTTCAATCGCAATTATCTAATGATTTATAATCACTTTCATTATTGTCATTAATTCCAAAACCCCAAAATGATTGTAAAACATGTATAAGTACATCTTTACATTTTTAAAAACGTGCCTCACATCTTGAACCAATTTCATTTACATTTAGCAGGGCCTTGCTGAAATCCACCCAACTTTTCAAATATTTTTAACTCTGCGCAAGATGCAATGCGCAAGATATGCGCACCTGAACATCTCTAGATGTAAATTAAAATGTTGATCATGATGCATCATCAAATTTTTTTAAAAAATTTTCAATATGTCAAATACTAACGAAATGGAGATAACAGAATTAGTAAATGAAGAAGAATTGAAAATTGACGTAGACGTAGACGTAGACGTAGAAGAAGAAGGAGAAAGAGATGAATCAATTATACATGACAATCAATATATATTTATTCAAATGCCAAGTGGAAATATTAAAGTCGTCAAAATTCAAAAGGATGTGTACGTATTTTTTTAAAGAAAATGTAATAAATAATAATAATATATAATAATATATATATATATAATTAATTTAATAGTACTGTCTCCTTAGGAAAGTTTGGTACTTTTCATACAAATGTTATAATAGGAAAACCTTTTGGACACTCTTACGAAATATATGATAAAGATAAAGTAAAGATTATTAAGAATGTTTCTTTTATTGAAGTTGGTATGAAAGAAAATAATTATCCACACTTGTGTATAATAATGATGATTGTGTATATTTAGTATTTAATAAATAATCTTAAATTTGTTTTTAGATGAAACTGAAGCAAATAATCAAGAAATATTTGATGATCCGTCAAAACAAAAATTATCGTATAAAGAAATTGAACAATTAAAACAACAAGCAACTGAAGGAAGTGATGTAATTAAAAATATTGTTGAAAGTCATATATCATTTGATAAAAAGACAGAATATTCTAAAGCAAAATACATAAAACGTAAAGAGGCAAAGTGAGTGTGAATTATTATTTTCTTTTTTTTTTTTTTTTTTTTGATTTTAAAATAAATTTTTTTCTTTTTTCAAAAAGATTTTCAAGAATTTTTACGCCAGTAAGACCAACTTTATATTCTGTGTGGGAATATTTTTATTCTAAAAATCCAACAAAAATAAGGTAATCTTAATCTCAATCCAAACCAACTAAATCCAAATCGATTAATTGATCATTCATGGATTTTAGCAATTAATATTATTCAATTTAAAATTTTTTTTCTTAGAGAATTAAGAATAGACACGCTTTCACAAATGTTAAAATGGGCAAATGTACACTCAAATACTAGAATGCTTGTAGTTGACGATACTCAAGGACTTGTTATAACCGGTATTATGGAAAGATTAGGAGGTGAGGATATTCATTCCTTCACTCTTTCATATATTATTTTTATATGATTTTGTTTTTTATTATATTACAAAATTTTCCTGAGTTTTTCCTTGATTTTAACTTCAAGATGAAAAAAAAAAAACATTCTAAATAATAAAAAAAATCTCCAAAGGTTATGGAATTGTATTGGGAATTCATGATAATGAATATCATAATTATGATATTATAAGATACATGAATTTTTCAAAGAAAATCAATGACTCCTTGTTGACTTTATCATGGCAACAAGTTTTTAAAGAAGAGCAACAAGGTTAATACGACGACGACGATGATGATGATGATGATGATGATAAAATATATTATTATTATTATTATATATATATATATTTTTACATTAATTAATTGATTATTATTTATTATTAGAACCATTCACTTACCAAGATTTGTCTACACTGTCAGGAAATAATCTCAAATATTATTTACGTAGAAAAGAGAATTATGAAAGAATAAAGAGTACCAGGGAAATTTTATGGAAAGGTGGATTTGATGGGTATTTTTTTGTTTTTCATAATAGTTTAATTTATTAATATGTATTTATATTTATGCACCAATTGATCTCAATTTATTTGTCAATTTTAATATTAATCTACGTTTTAACCTACATCTTAATATTTTAAAGACTGATGATTGCAAGTCAATATCAACCTGAATCTATTTTGGATGCTTTAACTCCATATTTGTCGGGATCAAGACCAATAGTGATTTATCACCTTAATAAAGAAATGTTAATTAACACCTGTGTACGTATGAGGATCTCTAAAAATTATCTTAATCCACAAATTACTGAAAGCTGGTTAAGACAATATCAGGTAAATATTATAATAATAATTACAATCGTAAGGCAAATACATAGTACCGAATAATAATGAATTTGAATTTTGTTTAGGTGCTACCTGGGAGAACACATCCATTTATGTCAACTAGTGGTGGTGGTGGATATTTATTAACTGCAACATGTGTAATAATAGATGAAGGCAGCTCTCCTTCAGTATCAAAGAATTCTTCTAATTCTAAAACTAATCAATCAAATAATAATAATAATATCAATAATATCATTGGAGAAGAAGACTCAGTAAAGCATGGAAAAAAACCTAAAATAGAATAAAAAATATTAAAAAATTTGTCTTTATTCATTGTTACCAAACTTGGATTTATTTTTTTATTATTTTTTTGTTACACTCGAAGACAAATTAGAATTGGAAGAATACGTGGAGGAAGTGATGTTATCAATTGTATTTGGACGTTTTCGTTTCATTCCTTTAACAATGTTACTTGACGAATTCATTGAATTAATAATGTGGATTTTTTGGTGATAATGCTGATGGTGATGGTTGTTATTTTCTTTTTAGGGCCCTCATCCTCGCCTTCCTTTTTGTCATCATTTTTTTTGTAGACAAAAAAAACCCTCAATCTATGTTAATATAAAAATTAATGTTTACAAAAATAGCCCGGTTGATTACGTATTGTTTTTAAAATGATAAATTTAGTAATAGTAACGATCTACAAAAAAAAAATTTAAATTCGCGTATGTATATTAATGTTTTTTTTCCGTTTTTAAAATACCATCAAAAATAATAAAATGTCAACTAGAAGAAAACGAACCTCCAAGGCAATTTCAGATGATGAATCTGTTGAATATATTAGTAGTAATGAAAGACAGGTGCTTGTATATTTATCTTAATACCCATTCTTATGCTAACAATACTAATAATACGCGTTTTACAAATCATTATTTAAAATAAAATAAAATATATGTTTTTTACCATTTAGATCTTGTAACATTCCGTTCATTATTAACAATATAATTTATAATTTTATACTTGATGTTTTTTTTGATAAAAAAAAAATTTAGAGTTCAAGTAGAAGAAAGACAAAAGCAAAAAGAAGTCGTTCTAATACTGATAGGGAAGAAATTTATGATGTTGAAAGGATGTCGGTAGATGAATTAGATGAAAGTGAGCTTAATGATGAGAGTGATGAAAATGAGATGAATAAGGGGGAAATTGAGAATGAGGAAGAAGAAGAAGAAGAAGAAGAAGAGATTGAGGAAGAAGAGGACGAGGAGGAGGACGAGGGGGAGGGGGGGAGAAGTAAAGGTACTGTGACGAATGATGAAGAATATGAAGACCTTGACAATGATGTTGTTGAGGAATTTGCAAGGACAAGATTAAAGAAAAAAAAATCAGCTGGGGTAAATTATACAAATAAAAATATATCTATATATCTATATCATAATCATTTATTTATTTTTACAATAATATTCTTTTTTACACATGTATATATACATAATAATATAGGCAACTGCAGAATCTGGTGTTATTGACTCAATTGAACTTATAAATTTTATGTGTCATAAATTTTTAAAAGTTTCTTTTGGTCCAAAAATTAATTTTGTTACTGGACATAATGGAAGTACGTACTGTCATTTATCAATATATTAATAATAATATTTATTTATTTATTTATTTATTTATTTATTAATTTATAATTAATTTTTGCATCATTAAATGTATATTTAAATAAATGATATAATAAAATAGGTGGCAAGAGTGCAATTTTGACAGCAATAACAGTCTGTCTTGGCGGAAAAGCAAACTTTACAAATCGTGCTTCAAATCTAAAAGCATTAATACGTGAGGGTGCAAGGTATTCGTTTACTTGTATTTGTTTCCATAATTAAATTGTTTGATTGATTTTGATTATTTTGTAAATTTTTGATTTTTTACTTTAAAAAAGAATATTTTTCATTTACTTATCCATCAACCTATCAATTATATATACATATATAGTGTTGCTCAAGTTGTATTAAAATTGCGTAATCGTGGAGAGGATGCTTTCCAAAAAGACATTTACGGTAATTCAATTATTATTGAACGTAGAATTACTAGTGATGGGGATAGTAGATACAAAATCAAATCCGACTCTGGAAAAGTTATCTCGCAGAGACGTGAAGATCTAAGCATAATTTTAGACTATATGTCGATACAAGTTGATAACCCTATAAACATTTTGACTCAAGACACTGCTCGTCAATTTCTACATTCTTCCAGTCCACAAGATAAATACACCGTATATAATCAATTTCTAAATTACTATTAATTATCATTATTATTTTTAATAATCACGTAAAAGAAATAATAGCTAATAGTTTATTATTGTTATATATTGATAGTTTTTTATGAAAGGAACTGAATTGTATCAACTTAAAGAAGACTATGACTTTGTTCGTGGAAGTTTGGACACTACAAATGAAATACTTAAACGCAAAAGAGAAATTTTACCAGAATTATTTCAAGAAGTAAAAGAGGTCGAGGTTAAACTTCGAGATATGAAAAAAGCGTATGAACTTGAAGCTGTAGTTTCATCATTGAAAAATCAATTGGCCTGGTCATTCGTTAAAGAAAAGGAGGAGGTTGATTTAAAAATTTTACACACATACATACATACATAAATAAATAAATAAATAAATAAATAAATATATTAACGAAGTTTTTTTGTTTTTTAAAAAATTTTAATAATAAAAGGATGTTGCAAAACATGAAAAGAATTTACAAGAAGCAATGAATAGATTACCTTCTGTACAAGATAAGCTGGAATTGGAAATTGTAAGTTCTATAAACTCATTATTTATATTAATTTTTTCATAGTCTCAATTATTGTAATCATCATCATAATGATTAGCATAACTTGGAAGAAATTGAATCACAAATATCTGAATTAGAAGAAAAATTTAATACACATGCAGAAACATCTTTACCATTACAAAATAGAAAAGTAGAATTAATAGCTCTTATTAAAAATAATAAAGTACAAATTCAAGAAATTCGGGTATGTATGAAAATTTCAAACTGTCAACCGCCCGAGCATATATATGATAATTAATTAATGATAATATAATAATAGGCCGAAGAAAAAGAAATAAATGAATCAATTAAAAGTCTAAAGCAAAACGCAGAAAAACTCCAACAAAAAATCAACACGGAAATAGAAAAACTTCAAGAAAACAACGAGAAAAAACATGAAGAAAAACTTGAGAAAATCAGAAATGCAGAACAAGAACGTGAGGAACAATCTAAAAGACTTGACGAATTCAAAATAAAAATCGAAGAACTCGAGTCCAAATCGGAACAATATGAAAGGAAAAAATCATTAGCCGAACAACAAAAACAACAAGCATCTGAAGAGATTGGGCAACATGAACTTCTGTTAAATCAATTGAATGATCAGAAGGCTAATAACATGATTGTTTATGGGAATTCTATTCCTGCTGTTCTTCGAGATATTGATCGGGAGACTCGATGGAGAAAAAAACCAATTGGTCCGCTTGGGTTATATGTCACATTGTCAAAACCAAATTGGAGCGAAGTTTTAGAATCGGTAATTGGGAGAACTTTAAATGCTTTTGCCGTACGAAACTATCAAGATCGATCGTTATTATCAGATATTTTGCAACGACATAATTGGTATATAACATTTATTTTTTATTTTTGCTGAAATAATTAAAGTTTGGTAGCGTCTTTATATACCAATTACTTACTATTTATATTATCCCCCTATATATTATATTAAAGTGCTTCGCCAATCATTATCAGCGAAGATGATGAGTATGATCATACCGCTGGTGAACCAGATGAAAGATTTCTTACAGTGTTACGTGTTTTACAGGTTAATTTAAACCCATTATTTTCATAAATATTATACGATATTATAAATAAATAATAAAATGACATTAATAAATATAGATTAATAGTCCATATATCAAAAGAATATTTATTAATCAAAATCGAATTGAATGTACTATTTTGGTGGAAAATCGCAGAGAAGCTGATGAGATTATGTATAATAAGGGGCGTGGATTTCCTCATAATGTAGATTCTTGCTATACCATTGAAGGATATAAAGTTGGACACAAGTAACGAAATAGAATCGATCTTGATTAAATGATTTTGATTGACTGGTTTGAATTTATAAATGATTTATAATTTTTGTTTTTGTTGATAATCTGATTAGAGGTGGCGGTTTTTCAACACAAGCAGTCAGATTGTATAGAGGGCCATCAAGATTTATTAAAGATGTTCAAGGTCAAATGAGGTAGGTATTGTGCTCGTATTATATATATTATATAAAAGAAGTTAAAAAATTTTGCTAATTTTTGTATCCAATCTAATTTTTAGAAATGCGCAAACAAAATTGAGTGATGCACGAAGATTATTTACTGTTCATAGAAATGATTTAAATAATATATCTAATGATTTATATAATGTTAAGAGAGAATTGGATTCTTTAAAGGTATAATAATAAACTTGCGATTAAATTTATTATTTATATACTTTTTTTGTAAAAAAATTTGCTTAATTGATTGATTTATTTATTTATTAGAGTGAATATAATACTGTTAATCGTAAAATAAAATCTTTAGATTATCGTATAACAAGTCTAAGGGAAGAATTGCAGGTTTGTTATTATTACTATCATTGTCCTTGTCGAATTTACTTGAACAATTATATGATTATCGAATAACTTCATTTTCCATTGAATTTTACATAAAATTTAGGAAGATGTACCTGCAATTATTTCAGGGTTAGAAGAAGCAAAGAATGTATATATAATTAAAATTAATCGCCCATTTAATTAACAATTCAAAATAATTCAAATAAATATTTTCTGATTTTTTTTTTAATAGGAAGCATTACAAGAAATTGATATGTATAAAAATCAATATCTTCAACTTGCGAGTAAAAAAATCACGATAACGGATGAACAAAGACCTTTGGTTTCTGAATTGGAACAACTTCATGACAAATTGTTAGAAGTGTCTATTGAAGCTGATACAATTAGTGTAAATATTATTTCTTTTATATCTTTTTATAATTATATAAAATTTTTTGTTTATTTTTTTGTTGGTTAACAAAAATAGAAAAGCATGGAAGAATTGGCTAGTAAAAAAATAGGTTATCAAAATGATAAATCACATTTGCAAAGAAAACTAGAAATGGAACAACGAAAAGTTGATGCTATCCAAACTGAATTGGAGAAATCATTAAAAGAACTTGAAGTATGTTTCTTTTTTTTAGTTTGTATATAATTTGAATATCATTTATTGTAAATCTTTGTAATAACTATCTAATTATTATTTACTGACATCTTGACGGGGAAAAAGGATTTGAGCACACAAGCGCAGGAGTATTGCCCTGAACGCGTTGAAGTCACTAAATCTTCATTTGAATTAGATCGTGAAATTCAACATATTCAAGATCGATTAAGAGTAAGAGAAAACGAGTATGTATTCTATCAATCAACCTATCGTTATAATATGTTTTGTTGAAAATTAAAATTCATTTATATTCGTGTATTGTTGGTTTAGATGTGGAACAACTATTGAACAAGTCATGTTGGAAATTTCAACTAAACGAGATGCCTATCATCAAGCAAAAAGTGAAATTGATCATATGGATTGTTTTTCTAAAGTAATACTAATGACAATGATTACAATAGCAATGATTAATATATCATTATTAATGCAAGTTTATAAATATAGGAACTGGGTGCTACCCTTAAAAAACGACTATACAAATGGCGTAGTTTTTTGTCTTTTATTTCAGTTCGTGCTAGAATGCAATTTACTTATCAATTATCAAAACGTGGCTATTCTGGAAAAATAATGTTTAATCATAATGATAAACTCTTAAATATAAAAGTTAGTAATTATAATTAGAATAATTTTTTTCTTGTGCACGTACTTATATCGCACGTACATACATGATGAATATTAATTAGGTTCAAATTGATGATCAAACACTTCAACAACGAAGTAATGATAAAGACCCAAGATCACTTTCTGGAGGCGAAAAATCATTTTCTGTAATTTGTTTACTTTTATCACTCTGGGAAGCAATGGGCTGTCCAATTCGCTGGTAATTATACATAAACACATACATTTACACATTCGCACACACACACACATTGAAGTAACCATTTATATCTTTATCCAGTTTAGATGAATTTGATGTATTTATGGATGCAGTGAATCGTAGAATTAGTATGCGTATGATGGTAATTGTCATTTAAATATATTTTATTACGATAATTAAAAAAAAATAATGATCAAAAAATTCCTTTGTGTATAGATTGAAACGGCTCGGGAATCTGATAGCACACAATATATTTTGATTACTCCACAAGATGCGAGTAGCATAACGCCTTCTCCTGATGTTAGAATCCATCGTTTACATGACCCAGAAAGAGGTCAACAAACTATAGACGAGATGGCATAACCATTTTTAATGACATGTAAATTCCAAACTTTATAATAAAGGGGGTTTAGGATATACATATATATTTTAATAACATGTACAGAATTTAAACATGAAAAAAAAAATCAGCAAACTTAATGTAAAGTAACTGATTTTATTATCCAACATTTAATAACAAATTTGATATAATACAGTATGTTTTCAAAAATTTCTTTATAATAAATGTAATAAATCAACATTACACCAAAATCATGCGAAGTCCATTGTTGGACGTGCGGCGCAGCAATAGAACATATCGAAAACAAGATATTTATTATTCTGTAAAACCGCCGCCGTCGCTATTTTATTTTCCTTGGCGTCAAGAAGAAACTCGAAATGTTCCTAAGAACCAGATAAATTAATGTAAAGATGTAAAATAAAAATTATTAATGAATTTAGAACTAGCAAAATACGAGGTGGAAAATCTGGCGTAACAAATTTTACTTGTTGATAATTCAAATTATAAATAAAACAATTTTTATTTGATTTTTTTTATTGGCCCAATCAATCAATCATCAACCAATAAATTGATCAAATCGGACTCGAGTTTTTTCCTGGAACGCGTATTGGGATATGGTGTATTGATGTCAAACAGTTGTTGATTTGATTTTTTTTGTTTAATGAATTCGTATTTGAAATTTTTGATGATTTTAGTGGCTTTGGCTTTTAAAGTTCTTTTTAAACCCATGCGAGATTCTATACTAAGTTTTTGCAGCCTCACATTTAACGATTCAAGCAAAACTTCAAGATGTTCATTTCCAAAATCGTATGATCCAAGTATTTCCATGACTTCAAGTGGTGGATTTGATTTTTTCAAATATTGCTCTAATGAGTGTGCACTAAAACTGAAAACCCCTTTTAATTCCAAATGCCTCAACTTTGTTAGATTGATTTCTTTCATTAGTTTATCAATATTTAGAATGTTTTCATTCTTTTCATTTTGCCAGTTCTGTTTCCAACCTCTATCTTTGACGATTATTTTTTCAAGTTTATTGCATGATAATAATATTTCTGATAGCGATGGAACCGTTATGTATATACACAAATCCAAATAAACCAAATTAGTAAAATATGTTGAAATATGCATTGCGATAGTCACAAAATCCATTTGAAAACGATTTTCATCGTAAGTAAATTCCCTCAATTTGGATGAATCGTTGAAATCGGTTGTTGTCAAATAATTGATTGGTCTGATGATAAGAATTGGATCGTTCAAAACAAATTTAAATTTCACCAATGAATGTAATTTCTTTTCTACCGGCCAATGTCTTTCACCAGTTTCAAGCCAACAATGCTTAATGATCAAATCTTCTAATCCTTCCAAGTTTAAAATCCTTGTGATATAACCTCCATCATGAATCCTATTTCTTTTTAGCACTATTTTCCTTAGATGCTTTGATTGGAATTCAAGCCCTTCAATTATTTTTGGAATCCCATTTTGAGTATAAAAGAACATATGAAATTCCTCCAATGCATTTTGATTTTTAATTAGATTTACAAGCAAATCATCATTCTTGTACAAGTCATCTTTAGCAAACCAATGGTCATCCCAATCAATCTTGAGTACTTTTATGTTACGTGAAATCCTTATAAAATTTGTCAAAAACTTTACACCATTATCACCAGCTGTCCATTCAAACCTTTTGATTTGTGAAAAACACCTATTGCTGACTTCCGGATACTCTACATGTAAATTGTCATAGATATTCCAAAATGATTTCGAATTGTTAGATGTGGTAATTGAGATGGATTCCAGTCTAGGGATTTGTAATGTAATTAATTTAGCAACATTTTCAACTATTTGGATTAACACGCTTTCGCTATATAAATTATTTGTGTATTTTATGAAATCTCTTGTATTTTTTCTCTCCAAAATCTCTGCAATCAATTCACGATCAACTGGAGATAAATAGTCTTGAATGTATTTAGCCCATATTGCAAACACTACAATCAAAGTCTGAAAGTCCAAATATCTGATAAATAAAACATAGTTGAAAGCTGTTCCAAATTGACTATTCCGAATCCCACTACTAATTTGTTTATTGTAGACTATACATCTAAACAAAGTATTTGACAAATTAACAAATTTAAAAGAACTTTTATACGTCATGTTGGGAAATTCTCTTAGTGAATTGATTGATGCCTTAATAATTTGATTAAATGGTTTTTTCCATAAATATTTCAACGCTGCTTCACACCATAATCTATTTATTAATACGCAACTATGTAAACTTTTGATGTCATTTTCAAGATATGAAAAAATCTCTGATAAACAATCAACGGGAAGTTTTGCCATTTTATTTTTATATTACGACACGTTTCCTTTTTTTTTTTTTGATCAAAAGAAATGACATATGTGAGTGTAACATTGTCAAATTTGTATAAAGTACCAGTTAGTTGATTTAAAATCAAAATAATAAAATAATAAATTTTTTCACAGACAAAATTTTCAGTTAATAATAATAGTTTTTGTCCTAAATTTTAAAATATACGTTTTTAATTTAAAAAAAGAAATGTCAAGCCGTGTTCCTAACGAAGAACTACCGATACTTGAAGCTTTAATTTGTATTAGAAATCGACTTCATGCTTTAAAAAAAGATCGAGCAAATTATATCAGAGCTTCGGCTGTAATTGAAATATATGAAGAAGTTGGTTTCTTTCTTTACCTCTTTTTAACAATATAGAAAATTATGTTAAATTTTTTTATTATATTATTAAAAAAAAATATAGGTAACTGAACAAGTTAGAAAATTGAATGAAATTCGAGAATTAACGATCCAAGAACCAAAAAGTAATAATCGTGTCAATGATGTTCTTGATGATGTTTTTCAATTATTATCACTGTTTTTTATGGCAATTGGAAAAAATCGAGAAAGTCCTGCCACTTATGTTCAACTTACTACCATAAAGGTATTTGTTTGTTGGTGTTAATGGTGCATTGTTGGTGAATTTTATTTCTAAATATTTTTGTTTTTTTTTTTAATTAGCAATGTTTAGATAATCTAAATGAATCTGGTGTTTATACATTAGGTAAATACCCAACCAATTATTGTTATTACTGATGATCTAGTTATTATTATTATTATTAAATAATAATCAAGTATTTAATCAATCAATCAATTAATCAAATGATTAAATAAAATTTCATTATGAGATGAATTAATACCTTATGAGAGTCGGTTAGAAGAGATGAAGAAAATCATTACAAATGAAGAAAATAATGTTATATCAAAATTATTGAAACAAAAACTATTATCTTGTGGTAGAAAATTTATTGTTATTCTACTATTATTTTTTTTATATTGTTTTATATTGTTCATATACATATATATACGCTTTTTTTATATAGAGGAAACATTGAAAATGCTCAGAGAATCAGAATCTAATATCAGTGATGAACTTTTACCTGTACATCAACGACTTGTAGAAATCAAAAGACTTCTTGGAGATCTTGGATTGTCTGGTTCTCAATCAAATGATATTCGACTTATCCAGGATGAACTCCGTGAAATCGATTCTAAACGAATAGATGGTAAATTTATGGCATCGGACGACTCGATTCCAACAGGACAAGCTCAAGTAATTTCTCTTTTGGAAGAGTGTTACGAGCATGTACATGAATTGATTGTTACTCAAGATTGTGTAGCAGGAACTTTAAAACATATATATGATCGATTAATTGAACTCAAGTCACAACTTGAAAATTTGGTTTTAACTCATCGTTGGACATTAAGAGAAACAGATTTATGGATGTATCAAATACAATTAACAGAAATTGATAATATGAGAAAAGATGGAAAATTTTATGACAAGGACGGAAATGTTCCTGAAGGTCAAACGGTAATTATTATTAACATTATTATTGTTGCTATTATTTTTTTGGGAAAAAGTTTATAATAATAATATCTTTCTTTTGTTATTATTCTTAGGTGCTCCTTTATTTACTGCATAAATGTTACCGTTTAATATATAAGCTTCTTAGTTCTAGTGAACCAATTGCCGAACCTTTAATGCCAATTCATAATCAACTTCAAACAGTACGAAAATTTTTAAAAGAAATAAAAAAATTTGGTACTCCATTTACAGGTAAATTAAAACAAATAAATACAAATATATTTTGTATTTGTTAATAATTTTTTTTTCTTTCTTTATTCCTCCACTTCTCTATTTTTTTTTTTTTTTTTGATAGCAAGAGAACTTTATCCATATCAGATGAAACTTGCATCAATTGATAATCTTCGAGTAGATGGGAAATTTATCGATGATGATGGATCTATACCAGAAGGTCAAGGCATAATCGTGGCGTTATTAAATGAATGTTATGATATCTTGTACGAACTAAAAGCTGACGTGGAAGAAGATGGTTATGAATAAACTATCATTATTAAAATTTTATTTAAATATATAAAATATATAAAAATAAGTCGAATCATAATGTATTTGTAGAATTATTGTAAAAATAATTATTCTGTCTGTATCTGTAAAATTTATTAATTATTGTGTATTAATTAAATCGTACTTAAAAAATTATCTATATTATGTAATAAAGAGTTATTAATTATCTGTCCAAATAAAAAATATCACCATGGCTGTAACATTATCACTATGAGGTTTGGATTTAACAACTGCAGAATTAGTTAACGAAGATGCAATCTCGTAAGCATCATTGCCTTTATCAAGTGCGACTGTGATCGCCTCAACTATCGTTTGTTCATCATATACATTCCACAAACCTAATTTTATATTAATATTAATAATAATATGATTATTATTATTATATATTTACACTAATTACCATCTGAAGCTATAATAAGAAAATCATCCTCATGAGGAATTAAATTGATTTCATGAACATGTGGAATTGTTGAAATCCAATCTTCACCAGATGGCGTATTTAGAGCTTTGAAATCGAAATCCCCAAGAGCTAAAAAAAAATTTTTTAAAAATGACATTCATTAATAAAAGATTTTTCAAATCTCCCTCTTCATTCTCATAATTACCTCTAGTCATATTAACAGAATGACCTGGACGACGTAATCGACATTTTTCAACAACTGCTTTGGCTGACTTAAGGCTACCATCAACACATGCAAGCACACATATGCACAATTAAATATTTAATTGATTAATTGATTGATTGATTGATTATAATTTTATTATAAATTTACCGATTCATTTCTTGTTTGTCAGTAACTTTATCATCTTTAGAAACAGTGATTGCTTGTGGTTTCCCAGAAACAATACCAAGTACTGCTGTACTATCACCAACATTAGCAATATAACAAATATTTGATTTTTTCAAAAATAAAGCAGCTTTTTAAAAGGATAAATAAATAATAATAAGAAAATTTTAATAATCATAAATTCAAATCTATCTACTTGTAAATTTACATTATTACCTGTAGCAGTTGTTCCACCTTTTTTTCGATCACCAAAAGTTTGTTTTAAACAATGATCTTCAGCTTGAAAACCATTTATCAAAGCTTGTTTATAATTTTTTGCTTTGAATTCTGAATCATTTGTAATCAATTCTGATAAATGTTCTTTAGCATGCTAAAAGATATATTTTTTTAATTAGATTAACAAATTATCGTTAGTTCGTTAATTAAATAGTCAATAATTAATAAATAAATAAATTCAAACTCTTGAAAATATTTCATCGCCATGTCCATCATAAATAATAAGCAATGAATAATCTCTGTTTAAGAAATAATTTCCAACATCAAATCTATCCATTTGAGTTTTTCTGTCACCCTTAAGTGTTGCTACACCTATTTCAAGATCAATCAGTGACATTTTTTTTTAGATAATTAATTAATTGAGAATAATTTTAAATTTTTGATAAAATTTTTTTATCAGATATTTATAAAAAAAAAGTGAGAGAGAAAATAATAAATGATGTAATTAAAAAAACTTTTTAACGAAGATATAATTATGATGTCAATAATAAATTTTATCGGAAAAACTTAGTTTTTATTTAATGTAAATCTATTTAATGATTTCTTCAAAAAAATAGTCCCTTCTCTATATTATAATATAATAAAATACAAATTAATATAATAAAAATACAAATAATTTACTAATTGAATTAATTGAAAGAAAAAAAAATAGTTCATAATAATTATAAATTTCACTCTCTCTCGCTCTCTCTTTAAATTATTAATTAAACTACTTTCAACCATTTCTTCAAAACAAAATACATTAAAACACTTGACCCTACAGATACAGCTATTAAAACAATACATGTAATTAAACAGCAACTAGTCTGAACACACCGCATACAACATGATTGTGGTTCTTCTTTCTCTAGATTTTCTTTAATCGATATCTTGGTATTTTCTAATTGTGCAAATATGTCATCAATTTGTCCTGAATTTACATTTTCATCTTGTTGTCCCTGTTGATTTCCATCTTGCTGTCCCTGCTGATTTCCATCTTGTTGTCCCTGCTGATTTCCATCTTGTATATTTCCTGTTTCTATATCCTTAACCTCATTAGCCATAATTGATTAATAATTTTATTGATTATTAATTAATTTTATTGATTTGTTAATTAATTTTATAAATTAATTTTATAATTAGTTTTTTAATAAATAAATAGATCCAAAATTTGAGTTTCGAGTGAAAATATCGACTTTTTAAATAGCATTTATTATCCAATAGATGCCTAAAAATGGAAAAGTAAATTTACGATTTTCTTGCGGAATGAAGAAAATCCTTTAAGAAAGTAAAAAGTTTCTACAATTCGGAATTTGAGATGCATAAATGATTGTTCATTTAGGAAACACTTACCATTGCAATTCTTTACTTTGATTGGGCAGAAATATGACTATCTTATACTAAAGAGGGTTTTAGTGATCCAACCAGTCAATGGCAGGATTTGTGGGGAAATCTATCCATTTATGATTAGGTCAATTGGTCTACTGGGTACTGATTGGTTGGGCGATAATAGAAGTATCGACAAATGATTAATAACTATTTCCCAATGAGGTTTTTGTCACAAAATTTGACACAGTAGAAAATCTGTGTGGAACAATACTAAATTATAATTGAAATGTGAATTTCTAGAGGGAAGGTTAAAAATATTGGCATTAAAGTTTATCAACCAAATTACCGCATTTGAAAATTAATCATCTCTTTTGGTCATCTCGACTAATACTAACGATTAATGATCCTGCTGATTTTTCCTATTTTTGAATTGAATAATATTCCACGATTATCAAATTAATCAATGGTGGTTGAAATTTAACAACGAATTGTTGAATTATTAACATCAATAATTAATCACAATAAATGTTACACGAAACGTTCTGTATGAATAGTTTAAAGTTTCAATTTTCATGGTATGATGGTATGTAAATCTAAACTATCATAACTGCTCAAAATTTTTTGAAATACGCGTCAAAAATTATTATAAAAAAAAATAGTAACGATTTAAATTCTAAACCAAACTATTATTATATTACAACAAACCACACTAATTTTCACCTGCTTCTACTACTACAGCGACTCTATTCAAATGATAAGCGTTTAGTCTTTTAAAGATGATAAATATTAGTTTGTTTTGACACGAAAATGAAAGAGGAAACTTGGAACATATAGTTCACTCTCTCTATAACGGATCATTGGGATTAGAAAAAATATCCGTTGTTATTATAGAGATGAAGTTACGTGTAATTTTAATATTAACAAAACATAAAAAATAAATGTTTATTACTTATATTATTACGTAAAAAAAAATATATTCAATTTTAATATTAAAAAAACCATCTAATTTAGGTTGTATTGGTATTTTTGAATTAAATCCTACTTTTTTTGACTTTAAGTTGTTGCTAAATCTTTGTTTATTGGAATTAGTTGTCGGTTTGCTAAACAAATCTCTCTTTTTACCAAAACAAAGATTTTCTCTTATCTAATGACATTTTAAAAATAACGTAACAAAATAAATTAATTTAGAACTTGAATTAGGTGGATTTAAATCAAGAAATTCAATTACACGTATACGTGAATCCGTTTCATACAAAATTTACAATTATAATATTAATATATGAAAAATCCGTTAATCCGTTAAATCGAGATAAAATAATTATTGTTATTATTATATGTTAACATAGAAAGATTTGGTTTTGAAAATTTATCCGTTAAACCCTAAATCCGCTAAATCGAGATACACTGTGTACTGGCACTCATTATTTTAACTTCTTTTAAACAAAAATAAAATAACCAAATTAACAATACATAGATTTAAATTTTGTTTATTTGCTTTTAATTAAAGCTATATTTAAAACATATTATAAAAGACATTCACGGCCTAATTTATTAATTTTAGAATTTTTAAGCACTATTCCTGAAGATATTCATTCTTTACAAAAAGCTTCACAAGTTGCAAACATTGACCGTTCTACATCAAACTGGTGTAAATCTATAGAACACTTTACAAAAAGAAAAAAACTATAATATTAAAATTGAAGCTATTAACAATTATAAAGAACTTAACAAAATTTTATGTGAATGGATTGCGTGGCTAAAAAAGAAAAATGTCGAACGCTATAAAGCAGAATCTTTATTTGCAAGTTACAGTGGTATTGCCCGATACTTAAAAGAAGCTTCAGTTTTATAGCCATGTAATTTATGGGATAAATATAGATTTATGAAACGGATCAAGCATCACCACTAACTAAAAAAGAAATTCAACAAATTTTAGATCATTCTCAAATACAAAGCAACAATAACAAAAGCATTATACATAGAATTTTCTTTTTAATTAGTTTATTATGTGGTTTAAGAGGAGGTGATGCATATAAGCTTGAAATGCAAAGTTTTTCTAGACGTTTAGATGGAGGGTTAAATTTATCATTATATACTGAAAAAAATAATCAAATGGGAATGTTTAAACGAAACAAATATGGAAAAAGTACAGCTAGAAAAATTCCTATGCCAGCAGACCAAGAGAATGGAAGATATAAGCCAATTAATGATATATTAGCAAAAGACTGAAAGATGCTAGTGAATATTTTTTTTAGAAACTGCAACATCTAAAAAAGGTATTTTTATTTTTTGTTTTATATTATAATATTAATTTAATTAATATTTATTATTACAACAGCATCACAGCAAAATGTTTGGTATAAAGAAACAAGAGTGGGCAAAAGAAAGTTATCAAGAATGATGAAGTCAATAGCTGAATTAACAGGTTTAGATTTAAATGATGATCGTAAATTAGTTAATCATTCAGTAAGAAGAACAGCTATTCAAATACTTAAAGATAATGATGTACTTGAAGATGAAATTATCAAATTTTCTGGACGCATGCCAAGAGAAGGTGTAAGAGCTTATGAACAACAATTAATTTGTATATAATACAGTCAAGCCTTGTTTCAACTAATCTATGAGGAGAGTCATTAAAATTCGTTGAAACAAAATTTTAACTATTTCAGTAATGTTCGATGCATATAATAAAAAAAAATTTATTATTTGAAATAACCAGTAATACATGTTTGTTTTTGATTTTTAACATTATATAATGTAAATGTAAGGCTGTTAAACAAGCTACTTAAGTTGCTTTGCAAGTAAACCAAAGCGAGTTTGCAATCGGCTAAATAAATGTAAACGAATAAATCAATCACAAATGAATAAAAGGAACTTTATAGAAGCCTTTGAGCTTTGTAAAGGCCATCATTATTTATTTACAGTTATTTGGTATGCTCATAGATTCGTCTAGGTGCAAGAAAGAGGGATCCAATGTAAATTTGTAAACTAATTAATTGACAAGCACCGAATTATTGTGAGTTGCTTGTGATTAACTGACGAAAGTAGTCCAAATACTTGTTAAATAATCGGTATTAACCAAAATGATACCTCGTAATATTACCATTTAATATTAACAAGAATCAAAAAACTGTGAAAAGTTTATTATTTCAAAATAATTTAGCTTTAAGAATAAAATAAAAAGATAAGTGGAGATTAAATTAGTCATTCATTGATTGCTTCTTTTAATTATTAGAATCTAATGCAATCAATCAAATGTAAATAAAAATATTGTAATGAATAATGAATAGTAATTTCCGATTAATTAATTAATAATGAAAGTTTTATTCACTTTCAGCATTTAAGAGGAGAGAGTTAAAATCAAGACTATCTAATGAACTATCATTACTTGTATAAATTTTCAAGCTTTTAGATTTAGCAATCACTTCATTTAATATTCTACTTTCATGATATGCCTCTGGATGTGATTTGTGTACTTGTTGCGAATCATTACTACTATTACTGATATTACTATTATTATTAAAATTATGCTTTTTTATTTCCCTATCTTTATTTCTAGCAAAATCATAAAGCTCTCTACTAGTTGGTCTTTTTGATGGATCTACATCCCAACACCTCTGCATCATTTGCACTAGTGTCCCTATGAACCGAACCGAACCGAACTTCAGGCCATGTTCAAGTTCGGTTCATCGAAACTCAGTTCAGGTTCAGTTCGGTTCAATAAAGCAAAGGTCAGTTCAAGTTCAGTTCAAATTTAAAATTTTCAGTT